GCTCCCCATACTGTACCAGTCCTACCTGAGAATAATAAGCCATGTATGTACCCAAATGGGATGTTTGGAGAGGATGGAGAACAAAGGATGGAGGGGAAATGAACACCTCTCAGGCATGCCCAGCCTGTGGGCCCCAAGCAACCTCATGGAGCAAAGGACAGCTGTGAGTATGGCCCACACAAAAATCACAAACTTACTTCAGACAGTATGAGGTTTTTGTGACTTTTTTGGCAACTTAACTGCACAATTCTTGAGCATGAGTTCTCTAGATGACAATGTCCTGGTGTCATGTCAAGAGGCTGGGCATGCCTGATTACACTGAAGGGACCATAGGTATTTATCTCTTTCACTCTGAGCCTATCCATGTGTCCTTCACTTACCTGTATCTGCTCTGGATCAATAAACAGTCTCCCTACCAGCCTCCGAAGGAAAGTCTGCACCTCAGACCAGGGATAGATACTATTGGAGCCATCCAAAACAATGACAACATCCATGTACGTAGGACAGCCTAGAAGAGGGAATATAGTGATGGGAAACAAAGACATGGAAGGGTTCTGGAATGGAGTCAACAGGGGAAAATGTCACAGGAGGATGCTTCAAAGTAAGCATTTGTCAGGGACTTCTTTCTTACATGCAAGGAAAGGACGATGCCGGGTCCTAAGTGTAGAAATGAATGAAAAAGAGATGGGCAAGTATGAAGAATGAAACATGCACTAGGTAGAATCCCACCACTACTCTCTGCTATGGGAGACTGAGAGCAGTGTGTGTGTGTGTGTGTGTGTGTGTGTGTGTGTGTGTGTGTGTGTGAATTGAACTAAGGGCTCTACTCAAGTACTGCCAATGTGCCACTAAGGGGCAGGTCCAGCCCAGAGGGTCATTTCTGATAGTGGTAAACCAAAGAGGTAGCAGCAGCCACACATGACAGTACATGTCTATTGTCCTGGTACTTGAGAAGCTGAGGCAGTCAAATCCCAAGTCAAGATGTAGGCTGTGAGAGGAATAAGTGATCCTGATTCTCTCTCTCTCTCTCTCTCCTGTAAGACCATGTAAAAATACTTAGATTGATAGAAATGAGTTAATATTTAGACAGAGCTGGCAAATAAGAAACGCTAGTAACCAGCCAACAGTTTCATAATTAATACAGTTTCTCTGCATGTTATTTGGGGCTGATGCAGCTCTGGGACCAGGCTGGTGGGGAAGTGCTTATAACAAGGCAGCAAATAAGATATATAAAAGGAGTAGACGAGAACTCAATAGCAGAGTGCTCAATGGGTATGCATATGATCCACAAAAATAAGATAATGAAGGTTCTGAGAAAATGCACTGGCGTAGAGAACATTGTAAGCAAAGGGAAACAGAGGTCCAAAAATAAATGGCACACAGGAATAAAAACGTAAACGTGATGGCTGAGGATGTGGGGAGGACAAGCTGGGGTTTAAGGTTGAGCCAGATCCTGTTGTCTTGATGCTCTGGTGAGGAGTCTGGATTTGAATCTGTTAGCAGAGAGCAGACCCTGTTGCAACCACAGCTGGGAGTGAGGACAGCCATGCAGGCCCTCTGCTGAGCCTTGGGAGTGAGGACAGCCATGCAGGCCCTCTGCTGAGCCTTGGGAGTGAGGACAGCCATGCAGACCCTTTGTGGAGCTTTGCTCCTACTTTCCCGCCCAGCAGCCCTCATCTGGGAACCCAGTTCTCAGGCCCTTGCACTGGCTCACGTTGGGCAGTGGGTGCCAGGCTTCCCCGAAGCTGGAATGAAGCATCCACATGGGCACATATTCCAGAACTGAAGACAGAGCTGCCACAAGCACGAGACCAGAGGGGGGCACAGGCCTGGGATGGGCAGGGGAAATAGTTATTCCCAGGCCTGAAAGGGGCCCCTCAGAACATGCATCTAGTTAAAAAGACATCGAGCTCTCTCCATGGGTACCCTATCTTGTTCTCTAGGGTTTTTGAATTCCTTGACTCTTCTGTATAGAATGGTTTCCCTTACCATATGCTCTTTTCCCTGCCATGAACTTCTGAGGCCCTTTAGCTCACCATGAATCCCCCATCACCATCCGTCTCTAGCAGAGACATGCCCAGGTGCATATTCACAGCAGGCTGAGATGAATTTCCCAGTTGATAGTCACCTGGTTGGAGGAGGGGTAGAAGAGAATGAAGTCATGGGGTCAAAGGTTGGGTGCTTTAGTTCAGGAGAGTTTGGGAAGACACTGAAAAGGAGTCAGTATCAAGTTGAAGGCAAGGTTTGTATGGGTTACGGGGGCAAAGAAGCTGATGTACAAGGACTCGGTTTCTGGGTGTCAACATCAGGGATTAGGAGGGGAAGGGTCAGACATCTTCTTACCCAGGTGGCCCTTGGCACATGAGGCACTGCGGGAGCCCCCTATAGAGCAGCGATAAACATCCCCCCGCCGGTCACCTGAAGGCCCATCCCAAGGGGCGCCGACCAGCATCCTGGGAGAGGAATATGGATATAGGCATCAGGTGAACATGGCTCTTAATATAGGCAAGAGGAAAAGTGCACGGAGGTGGCAAGTTTAGAGCCCTCAGGACTTTCAAAGACCAACTTAGAGTCCCATCTACCTTGCCTCCCTTTTTACCAGCTCTACCCCAGTCCCAGTCTCATGGTCCTCCTGTTTCCTTCTCACCATCGCTGTCCACCCCCAACATGCTGTAAGACGCTGTATCCAAATTCCGCCTCTGGTGGCCCCATGAATAGGCGTGGGTGATGCTCATCCAGATTAAACGGGGAGCAGAGACCTGGGAGGCCAGGACCACAATTAGCATCAACTGATCAACTGAAGTAGAACTAGAGAGGCACCCCCTCAGTGCGTCTGCCTGGTTGCTCATGAGTGCTCCTGGCCTTTGTCAACATCATGTACTCAGAGCCCCAGGCGGGATGATTCTCTTCCTGCGTGGGGTCCTAGGGCCTCTGCCATGCTGAGGCACAGCTGCATTTCCATTCTCACTCCTGAGATCTCATTCGCAGACTCATCTGGAAAGGTCAAGTTACTCTTTCCACATCATTCCTCCTACACACCCTCCTAAGCCACAAGAGTCAGGAGAGGGAGAGGACCGTTTTGCAGCCTCAGAATAACCACCTCTTCCCAAACCCAGGGCCATGGGGAGGGGAAGAGGAAGGCGAAGAGCTCCGTGTCTGGGTGGCTCCTCTTTCCAATCTCTCTTGACATTGTCACACTTGCACTCTTTCTCCAAGGCCTAGGATGCTGGTTGCTTCCAGCCCTACAAACCTCAGTGCTAATTAACTGGGTGGATCCACCCGCCTGCCCACACACATGGTTTGCCATCTACCCTTGTTAATGGTCCTACCAACCCCCCAAAAAACTTCCCCATAACCTGCTGCGTAGCTCCCCCACCTCCCAACTACCCCTAGCCTACTCCCGTAGTTCCCTGAAACTGGTCCACTCTAAGGGTCCCCAATGGGGTCCTGCTGATCCCTTTCTTCTGACCCCAATTGCCATAAGATCAGAGCTGGTATTTTAGGAAACAGAGATTATAGGGTACCCAGCAGGGGAAAATTCTAGGCCTCTTGTCCCTCCCATGCTTCTCTTCTCTGTGGTCTTGCCCCTTACATTCAAGCAACTCTCCGCCTCACTCCCACACCCCAGCATCTGTAACTCTAACTCAAACTCTGCTCACTTTCAGAAAGGTATTTTGTGTGTGAGCCTTTTTGTATCCAGGAAATTGGCAGGGTTATAAGACCAGGAACTGAAGATCATTCTTCAGATGGACCCAGAGTTCTGACCACATAGTAAAGCAATTATGCCTCAGGGAGCAGAATGGTAGGGAGAAGATGGGACCAGACTAGCTGCATGGAAGAGGAGAAATATCTTTCTATTCTGTATCCTCATTTCTGTGGAGTTTAGGGCAAAGATTTTAGATAACTAGTTACAAATCTTACTCAACCTCTGTCCAAAAAATATGAGCGCACGCATGAAATACAGTATCAGTATTAACCTCTGACCCGAACTCCCAAATAATTTTAACGGTAATGGTCCCAATTCTAAGCAATGTTCGTATCTTCCATCCCCAACAGAAACCATGACTTTGCTTCCCTCACCTGTCAGCAACGCCAAGGACAAGAACAGGTGGGGGAAGGAGAGGCGCGCCATTGCCTGCTTGTCTCGTCTCGTCCAAGAAGTCCTCTGTGCCTCTCTGTCCCTCGCCTTTGCTGCTTTCTTTACTTCCCCTCCTATCCTGCCCCCTCCCACTGGCGGCTAAAAATAAAGTTGGACGGAGTGGGAGGGGTGGTGGTGGGGAACCGTGGGGAGCCCCAGACCAAGAGGACAGAAGGATCTTAGTCCAGGCCTCTGCCTCGCTGCTGCCCCCTGGAGGCCTTCGCTAACATTCAACGAGAACACAGCTTTTGACCTTTTCTGAGGCTACTTTCCCCAGTTTATCTGTTCAATAGTGATTTCCTCCCATTTGGAAGGAAAGTAGGAGTTAGAGACAAATTCTTTTTGCCTTATTAATCTCAACCTAGGATAGGCAAAATCAAATCTGACAGCCATGACAGAGCGGTGTCCTCCTGCCTACTGTGTGAAGGGTAGTCCACTGAGTTCTGCTCATGCTTATGTGTTTAATAGCTTTTGGAGAGTCTTTGTCTGTGAACAGGTGTGCTTTGTAGCGTCCATATAATTGCTTTGGTTTAGGATATCCCACTCCCAATTTAAGGAGGCTATACATGCCTCAAGAATGGTAGACATCTTTGTACTTTTCATTGTCCACCACCTACTTACTAATTTCCCTTAAAACTTAAGTTTTCAATGAAAACCTGTAGGTAATGATGTTATTGTCAATGCCACAGAAACCCATCCATAGTCACAGGAACTCAGGCTTAAAATGACCAGAACATGAGAGGCCAGCCCAGATGTCAACGATCCGTTCTCCTAGCTACTCTAAAGTCTGAGGCAAGAGAACTCAGTTTCAGGCCAGCCTGGGTAGCAGTTGAGACCCCCATCTTGAAACTGAATAAATGAGTCAGTGAGCAAACTCATCTTTAATTTGCTGACCTGGAAGGCTTGCTTGCACTGTGGGCATGGACCGCAGTTATTTACACAGATTCACTATACAGTATTTACAGCAAGAGGCCAGACACAGTATCAATCTGGATAGTTAAAGAAAGGGCAAGAGGCAGCTGAGGAAGGAACACTAATATCAAAGTGTAAGCAGACACTGGAGAGTGTGGAGGAGAGGAGGGTCAGTGCCAAATCAGGAGTGAGGCTGCTGAGGTAGACACGAGGGGAGAATTGTCAAATGGCCTTCAGTGGGGATATGGAAGGGAAGAGCCTGCTGGGACATGACACAAAGTCTTGAAAATTGTGGGGTGTGAAGGAAAGAAAATATGCTACATGCTGCTTCAGACAAAGAATACAATTAGCGCTTTACCAAACCCCAAATTTACACTTCCCCTACCAAAAAGTAATCTAAGTATCTGGATAGGGGACTAAGAAAAACAATTCTGTCGCATGGTGACAAATTCTTAACCAGACTCAGGACAGATAAAGGGAAGAGGGCAAAGAGATTCTGGCATTGTCAGAGAAGCCCAAACGCCTCTAGAGGCATACTTGAGTCTTGCCATTGACATCGCCTTCCTGACCTCGTCTTTGGCAAAGTTCTTCCCTTCATCCCTAAGTGTCTGGATTGTGCCTTCAATCAGGGAGTCAAATTAGAATGAGGCTGGCACTGGGGGACAATCTAAGATTCCATCTCACAATTCAGGGTCTCTCAGTATCCTGTACTATGGTGTCAGGGCTTGAGTCGTAGCCAGGGACAGATTAGGGTGAGAATAGACAGAATGGAGGAGATGAGGCCACAGAGGCCCACAATCCCAGGGCCACAGCGCCAGAGGCCTAGTTTGTCCAGTGGGATGAAGAGGTCACAGGCATTTCTGAGCACATCCAGCAGAAGAGGAGGGTGACCTCGGAGGACACGAGCCAGGAGTAGCACTCGGAGTCGGAACTTCAGAACCAGTTGTGGCAGGCATGCCCCTGGGGTCCCTGGTCCTCCAGGTCCCCCCGTCTCCACTCCTCCTGGGACTCCAGAAACCTTCATTCTCCTGCCATAAGCTGAGGTCTCTTGTTCCATCAGTAGGCGGATCTCATAAGCATCACGGCTCAGATTCATGATGAGGGAAAACAGATAGTACCTGAGATGTACAGGACAGACGCACAGGTTAGAAATGGCATGCCCTCTGTTCTGCATAACCTACATAAACTGAACACTTTTCTCATGAACTGCAAAGGGATTCAACTTTAGTGCATCAGAAGCAAATGCTATAACCCATCACTGGAAATGTCCTCTCTGGTGGGTGGAAGCACTTGCCACCAAGCCAGACATCTAAGTTCAACCCTGAGAACCCACATGGAAGACAGAACTTTTGTCCTCAAGTAATCTTCTGACACAGACACCATGGCACACACATGCACCCATATATGCAACATACATGCATACATAAATAGAAAATGAATAAAAATTTTAAGTTAAGGACTTTATCCTGTCTTAGAAGTGGGGATGTAGCTCACTGGTAAGAGTATTTGATTTCCATGCATGAGTCCCTGAATTCAATCTCAGCAACACCAACAAAGGAACTGTCCTTCCTTCTGGACAATAAATCTGACATAGAAAGACACAAGATCTCATTACGGGTCAAATCTAAATAGCCTAACTCACTGAAGCATGGAGTAAGATGGTGGTTGCCTGCTAGGATTAGAGGGTGTGAGAAACAGGAAGACATTAGCCAAGAGGATAAACATCCAGTTCTACAAAATACCTAAGTTCTGTACATCTAACATATAGCATGGTGACTACATTTAATATAACTGCATCAAATACTTGAAATTTGCTAAACAGGTAGATCACAGATCAGGTGTTCTTAATACCATAAGGTTATGATCATTTTTAAATTACTCATTTTATGTATATGAGTGTTTCACCTGCATGTATGTCTGTGTGCCATGTGCATGCCTGGCACCCAAGAAGGCCAGAAGAGGGTGTCAGATCCCCTGGAACTGGAGGTACAGGTGGTTGTGAGCTGCCATGTGGGCACTGGGAGTTGAACCATGTCCTCTGGAGGAACAGTGTGGTGGTTTAAATAGGAATGGCCCCCACAGACTCATGTGTGTGAATTCTTGGCCCATAAGGAGTGACACTATTAGGTGATGTGGCCTCGTTGGAGGAAGTGTGTCACTATGGGGGTGGGCTTTGAGGTCTCATATATTCTCAAGCCACACCCAGCACCCAGATTCCGTCAACTGCATATGGATCAAGACGTAGACTCTCAGCTCCTCCTCCAGCACCATGTCTGCATGCACTCTGCCATGTCCCACCACGATGATAATGGACTACATCTCTGAACAGTAAACCACCCCAATTAAATGACTTCCTTTATAATAGTTGTCATGGTCACAGTGTCACTTCACAGTGATAAAACTCAAACTAAGACAGACAAGCAGAGTTCTAACTGCTGTGTCATCTCTCCAGCCTTATTATAAGTATATTAAAAATATTGACCATGGTGATTATTTCACACTGTATGCTTAAAAACATATAGTTATACACCAAAATAATAAAGAAAAAAGAACTCTCCTACTACTGTATTATACCTTAAGATTCTGGCTGAAAATTCCTGAGTGTTATGAAATCTGCCAAGATTGACTTCAAGTTTCATTTTTGAGACAATCCCTATAACATACCACATTGAGCTGGAGAGATGGCAGTGGTAATGTGCTCCCCATGCAAATGTGAGGACCCAAGCTCAGATCCCCAGAACCTACATGAATGCTGGTAGGCATGCCGATAGGGAATCTCTCAGAACAAGATGGCTAGTCAGACTAACCTTGTACAGGTGAGCTCTGGATTCAACTGAAAGGCCTGCCTCAGTGAATAAGGTGGAGAAACAGAGACAGATTTCCAAAGCCAAGCTTGGCCGCAGGTATATACATGTGCCCAGGCACACACACACACACACACACACACACACACACACACACACCCCATACTTAACCTGACCCCAATAATGCAAACTATCTTGACGGAACAATTTAGTTGCTCAAGAGATACAGCCTGAAGTGGTGATTCATGCCTATAATCCCAACACTTAGGATCAGGAGTTCAAGGACAAACTGGGCTTCAAGAAAGAGAGAAGAAAAAAGATTTATACATACATTAGAGCATTTAAATCCAATCTTTAAGAACCCCCCCAAGAAAAGGTCCAGAGACATTAAATGTTAGATTATAAACTCCTTAAGCACCAAAATACTCTTTTTGACCTTGTAGCACTGGCTGTCAGAACTTACTATATAGAACAGACATACTCAAACCTACAGAGATCCCTCTGCCTTTGTCTTCAAGTGCTGAAATTAAAGGCATACACCAGCATACCCAGCCCAGAACAAATTTTTTTTACCCTTTTCTTTTTTCAAGACAGGGTTTCTCTGTGTAGCCCTAGCTATTCTGGAACTTACTCTGTAGACCAGGCTGGCCTCAAACTCAGAGAGACCTGCTTGCCTCTGCCTCCTGTGTGCTGGGATGATCAAAGGCGTGCGCTATCATACCTGGCTCATTTTTATTATGTTTTGAGACAAGGTTTGTTTCACTATGTAGTTAGTCCAGGGTGGCTATGAATTCCCCATCCTGCCTACCTACTTACTGTTTGATTTACAGGCATTCATTAGCTAAGTCTTAAATACAAAAGTCTATGAGATTTGTGTGTGTGTGTGTGTGTGTGTGTGTGTGTTTTATAAGGTACAAACATGTAGAGGTCAGAGGTAGACTCCAGATGTCTTCTACTGCCTTATGTCTTGAGACAGGGTCTTTTGCTGAAGCTTTCCACTTGGCTAGACTGGCTGGCTGGACAAAGACCCTGGGATCCCCCTGTCTCCACTTCCCAGAACGGGGTCACAGGCATGAACCACTCCACCTGGCTTTTTATGTGGGTGCTGGGGACCCAAACTCAGATCCTCATCTTTACATGCAACCACTTGACATCTCTGCAGCCTGTGCTTTGTTTTTAATCCACTCTCCCAACAGTCATCTATACTCAATAAATTATCCTAGTTTAAAAACCTATTCTGAGAGGCTGGAGAGACAGCTCATCTGTTAAAGAGTTTGTACTGCTCTTCCAGGGGACTTAAGTTTGGTTTCCAGCATTATGTCAGGTGGCTCACAATCACTGGTAAACCCAGCTTCAGTGGGATCCAACACCTCTAGCATCTATAGGCATCTGTACTCATATTCATACATGCCAACACAGATACATACATAACTAAAATGAAAACAAATAAATATTTAAAGACTGGAATTTTTTGTATTCCCCTTGGGAAATAAAATATAATGATATTTCTCTACCACCAAGTGTGAGCCACAATCACCTCTTATCTAGACTATCACTTTGGTCTTTTAACTAGTCTCTCTGTGGCCATTCTTGTCCTCCCCAACCATTGAGTTTGATAAAGTAGCTATTAGTAGCATGAGTGTAAATCATTACATCTGCTCATTTTCTTCTTCTCTAATTACAATGAAACCTAGATACCTTAGACAACACTCTACCAGTGAGCTACATCCTCAGCCACTCTTAATTTTACCTTGTATCATTCTTTCCATAATCACTATAACTCTCTCTCTCTCTCTCTCTCTCTCTCTCTCTCTCTCTCTCTCTCTCTCCGTGTGTGTGTGTGTGTGTGTGTGTGTGTGTGTGTGTAGATGATCTGGAACTTGCTGCTTATTGTGAATTGCTATTTACTTTTGAGGTTTTGCTTTTTTTAAAAGATTTATTTTTATTTTATGTATATAATTGTTTTGCTTGTATATATATCTGTGTGCCATGTGTTGCCAGTGGAAGCCAGAAGAGGAAGTCAGAGTCTCCTGGACCTGGAGTTAATTAAGAGATGGTTCTGAACTGCTGTGTGGGAACTGGGCATTGAACCCAGGTCCTCTGGAAGAGTAGCCAGTGCTCTTAACCACTGAACTATTTCTCCCCTGCTTTTGTTTTCAAAAATTGTGTGCTTGTGTGTGTGTGTGTGTGTGTGTGTGTGTGTGTGTGTGCGCGCGTGCAGGTACAGGTATACTATGGCGCTTGTGTGGAGATTGGGGAGCCCACTTGTAGGACTCAATTCTCTCCTCCCATAACATGCCCTAGGGATTGAACTCAGGCCACCAGGTTCACCCAGCAAGCACCTTAACCTACTCACTGGACCATTTCATTGGCACAATGATTTGTTTTAATAACTGGCTCCCTACCTACACTGTAATGAGCCTTGGTTTCTTTTCTCTTTTTAAATTCATTTGTTTCATTTATAACTATTATGTGCAGTAGTGTGTATGTGGGGGGGCACAAGTACAATGGTGTACATATTGAAGTCAAAGAACAACTTTGTGGAGTGGGTTTTTCTCCCACCTTTACCTGGGTGCCAGGGATCCAACTCAGATCACCAGGTCTGCTTGCTTTTACTCAGAGTCATTTCATTGCAGACCTTAAGTTCCATGGATCAGGCGCCGCATTTGTTTGGCTTCTGCTTAATCTCCTGGCCCATAGTAAGAGACTAAGAAATATTTTTGGAAAAGCCAAGCACAGTAGTAGTGGCACATGCTCATGGAGTCCTGTTACTAGGACGGCTAAGGTAGGAGGATCGTATGAACCCAGGAATTCTGTACCAGCCTGAGCAACATAGGAGACCCCCATCTCTTTCATGTGGGTGCATACATTCGTGGGTATGTATGCACTCGTGTGCACATGCATGTGAAACCCAGAGTTCAACCTTGGGGTCACTCCTCAGGTGCTGTCCACCTTGTTTTGGGGGCGAGATTTATCACTTGGCCTGAAATTTGCTCATTATTCCAGGCTGGCTGGCCAGAGAGCCTTAGGAATCTTCCCGATTAACCTCCATATTGCTGGGATTACAAGAGCGCATGACCATCCCTGGCTTATGTGTGTGTGTTGGGGGTTGTATGTGTATGAGAGGGGTTCTGGGGATCAAACTCAGGTCTTCATGATTGTAGAACTGTGTTATCTCAGTCCTATGGGACCCCTTTATCATGAAAGGAAAGGAAACTAGACATGGTATCACATGTCTTTAATCCTGTCCTAAACTGGAGAATCCTGAGTTCAAGGCTAAATTAGGCTATATAATGAGACCTATTTCAAAAACAACAACAAAATAAAACAAAAACCAAGCAAACAAAAACCAGGCAAGATGATTCAGCAGGGTAAAGTCTCCATCACCAAATGTGATGGCCTGAGTTCAACCTTGAGATCTACATGGTGCAAGCAGAGAGCCAACTCTTGCAAACTGTCCTCCACACACAGTGTGGCAATGCCTCCTGCCCCTCTCACACACTAATAAATAAATAAAAATTGTTTTTGTTTTTTCAAGACAGGGTTTCTCTGTGTAGCTTTGGAGCCTATCCTGGCACTCACTCTGTAGACCAGGCTGGCATCGAACTCACAGAGATCTGCCTGCCTCTGCCTCTAGAGTGCTGGGATTAAAGACATGCACCACCACTGCCCAGCCAATAAATAAAAAAATTTTAAGAGGAAAAAAATTTATAAATAAAAGCAATGAGAGTAGACTATCTATGGTTTAGATATAATTAAAGTAATACAATATTTACCACCTCCAATCTCAGCCACTTATGGCATAGCAAATCTAACTTTCACCCGATATTGTTACTCTTTTATGGGTTAAGATACAAATGAAGATTGGAAACCAAATGGTCAATTAAGATAGATATTTGTCATGTCACAGTGGCACATATCTTTAATTCCAGTATTCTGGAGGCAGTCAGGTAAATCTCTGTGAGTTCAAAGCCAGAAGAGTCTATATAGTGAGTTAGTGAGTCAACCAGGGATATATAGTAAGACCCAGTCTCAAAAACAGACAAATGAATGAATAATATATAATCCTGGCATCCATGGAAGATTAATTCCAGGATCCTGAACTCAGCCCACCCACCCAAACCCTACCCAAATCCACAGCTGTTTAAATCCCTTAGATAAAATGGAATTGCATTTATATGTAACCTACACAATCATCTGTATCAACCTCCAAATATTTTAAAATATCTGACACAGTATATATATATACAACGTGAAGAAATGTTACACTATACCGTTTAAGGAATAATGACACAAACCACTGTCACATGTTCAATTCAGATGCATTGTGGCTGCTTGAATCAAAAGATGTGGAAACAATAGCTATGAAAAGACAACTGTATACTCAGAAAATCCTGAGCTACCTTGTCTCGTAAACAGCAAGTTATGGGCCAGAGAGATGGAGATGGACACACCTGATACATAAGCCCGATGGCCTGAGTCTGGGATCTAGAACTCACAGTGGAAGGAGAAAGCACATTGTCCTCTGACCTACAAGATGTGTGCTGTAGTGCTCTCCCTGTCCTGCATTAATACTTTTTAAAAAAGATTTATTTATTATGTTCACAGTATTCTGCCTGCATGCCAGAAAATGGCGCCAGATCTTGTTACAGATGGTTGTGAGCCACCATGTTGTTGTTGGGAATTGAACTCATGATCTCTGGAAGGGCAAGCAAGGCTCTTAAACTCTGAGCCATCTCTCCAGCCCATTCTTTTTAAAAGCATAGGTATATGCTTTTGTATATGTATATGTATATGTATATTTATATGTATATGTACCCCTCTCTTCCCAAGGACCTGAGTTTTGATTCCCAGAACCCACATGACAGCTCACAACCATCTGTAACTCCAATTCTGGTGCCCTCTTTTTGGCCTCTGCCAGCACCAGGCACACAAATGGTACACAGACATACATGCAGGCAAAACATCCAAACACATAAAGTAAAATATTTAAATGTTGGTGTGTGAGTGTCTGTGTGTGCTTGTGTGTGTGCAAGCTATAAGGAATGGAGGCCACAAATAGTCTTGTAGGAGAAAACAAAAAAATCAAACCTGAATGAACGCTGCGCCCACTTTTCCTGGTCCACACGGGGAGCTAGTCCGGACTTTCCAGCCCACAGAACATTGTCACAGGCGAAGTATAAGGCTCGATTGAGATGACTAACAGTGATGCAGAATCTCAGGACAACATCCGATAGGTGCACAGCTCTTTTGGCTGATTCAAGAGCATCTGCCGAGTTACCCAGACGTAGCACTTGTGGAGAAAAACAAGGGAAAGCAAGGGATTTGAAGTAAAGTGGCAAAGGTGGGGGCGGGGGGGGGGGGGAGGGAGGAAACGTTGGGAAGCAAGAATAACATACAGAGGAAAAATAATTTGCTCTTTTTCTAATTCTAATTGTAATTAATTCTTGCCCCAGTTTAGTTATTTCCATTTGCCCCGTCCTCTCCAACCTGTGTTTACTTTCTTGAATCTGTTGTCTTATCTCATTTGGAGGCATGCAGAAGAGACAAATGTTGGCAAACTAGTGGAAAGGGAAAATACAGGAAGGAGAGGCAATGAGCTAATAGAAAGGTTTGGTTCACTTACACTTTCTTCCAAGGCTCAGATGACCCTCCAGTTGTCGAATCTGTTTCTGCAGCTCAGGACTGGCCCCATGTCTCTGCAAAGCATGTCCAAGAAGGGAACAGGCATACTGGGCAGCCCTGGAGGGGAGGACAAGAAAGTAAGGAACAGGCCTCCCTAACCTCTCTGCCAAAAATGCCCTCCAGCAGGCTGGTGAGGCAGTTAAGAGCACTTGTTCTTGCAGAGGGCAGTGGACCCCGGTTCCATTCCCAGCACCCACATGGTGGCTCACAAATGTCTGTAACTCCAGTTCCAGGACACCCATCACCCTCTTCTGACCTCTGCAGGCACCAGACACACATGTGGTGCACATACATACTTGCAGACAGAACTCTCAGACAAACAGTAATAAATCTGAAAACAAAAGTCCTCCGGGGACATTTCCTTCTTTTTACACCAATCTTTTTGTTTTTCCTCAAAGCCAGGAGAAGGGGACGACATAAGAGGAAAACCAAAGCCTACTGAGAGGGTGGAGAGTAAATGGGGAGGCCTAAAGGGGCCAGTAAGAGCCGGGATCCATCGCAAGCGTCCACACATGAGTTTATATATGAAACACGACAGAGGGCGATCTAGTTGAAGGGCGGATTTTTCCTCCGGATAGGTGAACTAAGAGATTAAGGTCCTTGAACCGTATGGGACCCGAAGGAGAGCCGGACAGCGCTGCTCCTAGGTGACAGCGCTGAGAGGACGCAGAACCGGGAAGATCGCCCCTCATGCCACCACGGCAGTGAGGAAACTGTTGCGCTTTGTGGACACGGTAACCCTGGGCGGCCTCCCCGCTGGCCCACTCATGCCTCAGTTTCCCCATCTTTCCCGTGAGCAGAAAGAATCATCTCACAACCGGCTACAGGGTGCGCCTCCCGGGCCGTGCGGGCCCCCGTAGGCACAGCTGACCCTTAGGGACCCCGTAGCGCGCCCGTCGCCTCGCGGGCACCTGCTCTACCCTCCCGCCCGTGCTCCTCCGCCGGCCGCACCTACACAGCCGCTCCCGGGCTTGGCTCTGCGCGCTGAAGCGGACCCAGGCGTCCATGACAGCGGCAGCCCGGGCCCACGGCGCCGCCGCCCGCCTGCTTCCAGCCCCTAGTCACGCCTCCCGGGCGAGCAACGGGGCTTCGCGAGGGACAAACGGCGGCAGGAAAGCCAAACAGCCGGAGCCGACTCTGTGGCGGAGTTTCAGGACGTGAAGCGAAATCGTGGGTGCATTTCCGGTAGATCGCCGCCTCTAGGTCGGGCGCCAGCCTCTAAGCACGCCCCCAGGAGCAGTCTGCCTTAATTTCTCAGCAGCAAGGGGAAGGGCCTGCGGGAGCTCGGAGGCGCTTAGGATGTCGGCCAAGGCTTTCTATACTATCCCACTGTGGTCAATAAAGAGCCCAGGGCAGCAGAAGCCTGTAGCCCAGACTAACTGTCCAAGGGAAAGAGGGTGCGATGAGATCTTGTTTGGCAACTCCTCCCTAGTAGATGATGAAGAGTCCGGGGGCAGAATTAAGTGGACGAAACTCACAGGCTACCACATCTCAGGCCCCAGCACATCTTCGGGGTCAGCAGTGGTGAATGACAGTCTGGGCAAAATTACAGGAGTGGAAATAGGTCAGAGATGCCCACCTTCTCAGGGGTAGCAAGGTCAGAATGGGAGTGACCATTGTGCTCTGCGTTACTTTGTTGGAGGAAACCTGGCTGTGCTGTGGTCAGCGCCACAACAGTAATGCAGCCAGTTCTATCCCTTCCCAGCTCCACCTCTCTGACTCATTAACCGTTGCCAGCTTAACGGTTACTTCTGCGGTTATGCCCCTAGATGTTACCTGAAATACTCCTGTCCAGTGTCTAGTTGGAGGCATTGCATCTTAGACCCCACGCCTCTAAAATCTAATTGTCATGTGGTTGGCTTTCCTGCCCTGAAGTACTCAACTGGCTTTAACCCAGCACTCAGGTGGAAGGTGTGAACAGGTGTTAATGAAATGGATGGGGGAAACCTGGTTTCTTGCTTGCCTTAGGTGAGTTGGCAGGGGAGCAGGCTGTGCTTAACAGGAATCTGGCTACCCAGTAGGTGTCTGAGAAGTTACTGCACATGGTGCTTTCTTTGCAGGCCACATGGATCCTCACGGAAGGAGCCTCTGCTACCTCCTGGAAAGATTATTTACGTGATAGAGACCTACAATTTGCTGGACGTGATGGCAGTACCTGTAATTTCCAACACTTACGAGGCAGAGGCAGGAGACCAATGAAAGATTAAAGTCAAATAAATTTATCTACAGAACTCCACTCAGTCCAGCCAGAGCTACACATTGAGATTCTGACTTTAGGGGTGGGCGCTAGCTTGGTAGTTAAGAGTGCTCACTGTTCTTTCCATGCACTGGGGTTCAATTACCAGCATACACATGGTTGCTCACAACTGTCTCTTCAGATCCAGATCTGATGCTCTCTTCTGGCCTCCATGGGCACCAGGAATGCACATGTCAAGCTGACATTCATGCATGTAAAATACAATTATTTAAAAGCAGTACCCTATTATCTGCATCTGTGTCTTCCCCCAGGCTGGCTTTGTGGTGCTTGATTTCCACCACTTTGCATCCCTGTAATACCTCCCTCTAGGATACTGGTACGAAGAAAGGGAGGGAGGGAGGAAATCTGGCTAGAGTTGACTCAAAGAGCACTTGTTCTTGGAGATGACCCAGGTTCAAGTCTCAGCACATACATGATGCCTCACAATCATCTGTAACTCTAATTCCAGGAGATCTAACACCTCCTCTAATCTCAGTAGGTACCAGGTATGCACATGATACACAACATGTAAAGCAAAACACCATACACATAATTATTTTTTTCTTTAAAAGTCTGGAGCTTTGGGTTAAACTCTTGTGGTTTTCATTCCATTCAAGAAATAATGCCCATCAACCCTTGAATATACTCCACTGCAACAGGTACTTATGGGAACTTTCCTGCCTGGTATGCCGAGCCACAAAGTTAGAGGATTAGAAATGAATAATGTGCAAGACAAAAGGTGGGCCAGGTCAGTTTGTGTTCATCCTGACAAGAGAGACACTACAAGGTGGAGGGTGACATATTCAGCTTGTGATTTTTACTCTTAACTTTATAGCTATTAAAATTAGACATTGTGGTATATGCCTGTAATCCCAACACTCTAGAGACAGAAGCAGGAGGACCACAATTTCAAGACCAGCATAGTCTATGTCATAAATTTCAGGTCAACAAGGGCAATAAAGCAAGACTCTCCTATTAAAAGACTTAATCTCAAATCATAAAATATGGGAAATTTAAAATAATCCCAATTAACTGGTTTGCACATATTATCTCAACAACTCTGCTCTGGAGGGAAATGTAGTCAGTTAGTTGAGTTCCAGGCTAGCCTGATCTAGTTAGTCTTAAGAACTTGCATAAAAAGTAGCAGCAGCCACAGCAAAAGCCTGACTTATAGTTCTAAGGCAGAAAAAAAAAAGTGACTGTTACAAATAAGATCTCTACTAGCTATTATTAAAAAGGCTGGAGAGTTGGCTCAGTGGTTAAGAGCAGTGGCTATGGTGCACACCTTTAATTCCAGCATGTCTGTGAGTTCAAGGCTAGCTTGGTCTACAAAGCTACAAAGAGAAACCCTGTCTCAGAGGAAAAAAAAGAGCACTGGCTACTCTTCAGAGGACACCAATTCAATCTAGGTACCCACATGGCAGCTCACAACATCTGTAACTCCAGTCCCAGAGGATCTGGAGCCCTGTTCTTACTCTCAGGCAACAGGCACATATGTGACGTACAAATACACACACAGGCAAAACACTCATAAGATAAACAGCAAAACAAAGACAAAAAACTACTGGGACACATGGCATACATTCAGATACACATAAAGACAAAATTAAAAAATTTTATGGTATAAAGAATGGCATTAGGAATAACAGGAAATTACTTATTTGTGTAAGTTCAAGTTTCAAAGTTGTAGTAGTTAAAAGGAGGGTTCCTACTACACATGGTTAAGTTCTGTAGGAGAAAGGAAAGTTAAAAGGCCACACAATCAACCAGTGAGTTTTCCCTTTTACCTCCTCTCCCAGAGACAGATTTCACATAGCCCACGCTGTCAATTGCCTATGTAGCTGAGGATGACTCAACTCTTCAGCCTTCGCCTCCTGTTAGTGCTAAGATTATAGGAAGAGCCACCACGTTCATTTTATGCGGTTTTGGTGGACAAAATTCAGGGCTTGTGCATAATAGACAGGCATTTTACCAGCTAAACCACATCCCTATTCCTCTGAGCTATTTTTATATTTCCCCAAGAAAGCAAAGAACATCATTTATAGAAGAGGATCTTCCCAACAGATTCAGAATAGCCAAGTCATACCCAAGTAGTCCATCTAATGTTACTATGGCTGATACTATATTCCTAAAGTCTTCCATGCTTGCTCAACTCACTCTCTCAAATACTTCAAAATCTAGAAATCTTTTGACAAACTAATATTCAATCTGCATTACCCAAAAAAAAAAAAAAAAAAAAAAAAAACACACAAAGCACCCTGCAAATGTAAGCTAAAATATATTCTTAGCCAATTCAATCCAAAACCCCCAGCAATTTACCAAAAGAAAGGGAAGGGCAGCCAATAATATCTGGGGGAAAAATGATAAGTTTAATATTTGCTATTATGCACCAGGGAAACTGGAGTATCTCCTTTGAGGCCAATGTGAGCCACATAGTAACCCATATAAACTTGAAAACAACAAAAAAAATCCCACAAAGTTACTACAGACATACCAACAAATCACTTCAACTAAAAACTATGAAAAAGGAATAGCAATGTCACTTTTTGTTGTTTGTTTTTCTAGACAGGGTTTCTTTGTATAGTCCTAGCTATTCTAGAATTCACTCTGTAGACCAGGCTGGCCTGGAACTCAGAGATCCTCCTGCCTCTGCCTCCCAAGTGCAGGGGTTAAAGGTGTGCGCCATCACTGCTGGGCTGCAAAGCCCTTTTCAGAAGCACACTGTTACATAAACTCAAGCTGGGTTTCTTTTGCATTGTAGGACCTAACAACTATATGTTCAGCACCATACTCAAAGCAGAGCTGGCTGAGCATGCCCAAAGCCCCTGTGTTGTAGTTATGGGGACCACAAAAACTGGGTATGAGCACCTGGGACACAGAGGCAAAGTAACAGAAGTTCTAGGCCATCCTGGGTTACATAAGACTGTGTAAGAAAAACACTAATACAATATCTGCTCACAAGAGTATGTAAGAATCATTCCTGAATGCCACAAAAATCTCACTACCCCTGCTCTCTGGTCTTCTAAGAAAAAGAAATGATGAGCAGTCTCTGTCCGAGCCTCTAGAAACTCAGAATTCCACTCCCAGTCAGTGACTCAGAAGGCTTACTGTAAACAGTTCTTCAGTCTCCGGAACAGTAAAATAATTTTAAATGTAGAAAACAAAATGGAACATTTATTATTTTTTTTTTTTTAACTCAAAGCACTACTAAGTAGATAGGGTAAGACATTAAATATAAACACAGGTTCTACCCTAGCCCTATTTATGCAAGGCAGTATAACCAAATGGACTCATGGAGAGACCACCTGGGCAACAGACGATCTATCAACGTCGTCTCCGGTCTGGACTCCTGCTTCGTCTTCGGCCACCTCTAAGGAAAATGAACAGAAAGAGGATCCATCAGAGGAACAATACAAAATCCGTATTTACCTTGTTCATGTTTGCCCCCCTCTATTTTACCTCCTCTTGCCCTTTGGTGGACCCCGAACAAAACACCAGTCGACACTGATTGGCTGTCCCATCAAATCTTGACCATTGAGTCCCTCCATGGCAGCCTGAGCCTCTTTGTATGTTTCATACTCAACTAGAGTGTAACCCTGGGGAAAATTCAAAAGTTTACATCACCAACTTAAACCCAAACTGCATACTTAACCAGAAAAATTTACCAGCTCCATACAGTTAAAAGTACATCATATATCCCCATTATACACACATTTTGTTTACATTCTTTCTTGTGGGTAACAAAATCAACTTCCCATGTCATTTCACTTAATCCCCGTTCTTGGCCAACCATTGCAAATACAAAATAACCACCAGTGTATTTAAGAGTTATGAGTGAAGGAAGCAAGAAAATCTACCTTCAAGTATCCTGTACGCCTGTCCAAGTTAAGGTGTATGTTTTTTATTTCCCCATATTCAGCAAATTTGTCATGGATATCTTCTTCAGTGGCTTCTTCATGGACTCCAGTGACAAAGAGAATCCAACCTTCAACAGCTGTTGGGTAAGGGAGGGTTTTGTATGAGCAAAGATAAAAAGCCCAGTACTCAGAAGGCAAGATTAGGCAGATTTGTGAGTTCCAGGTCAGCTAGGGCTACACAGTGAGACTCTGTTATCAAAAACCTAAAAAAGGCAGGAGCATGGTGGCACAAGCTTTTAATCCCAGCACTCCTGGAGGCAGAGGCTGAAGCAGGTGGATCTCTGAGAGTTCAAGGCCAGTCTGGTCTACAAAGAGAGTTCTAGGAGAGCCAGTGAAGGAGGGATGGTGAGGGAGTTAGAGGGAAGTGGGGGGGGGGGCGGGGAAGAAGAGGGAGAAAAAGAGAGATAGATTGGTTAAACTATCTTTTACCTTATTCCCATTAAAGTGCCAAAACATACAGATTCCCCTGAAGTCCTATTTACTTACAGCGTTGTGGTCCAGGTTCATCGCCATCCTGCTCCACACTGTCATAATCCTCTCGCATCCGCGCTCGGGACCCCTCTTCTAAAAGAACACATACTAGATCACCGAAAACTGGCCTTCATATGTGTTCACATCGGACCACAAAATTCGCGTACTCCCCCTTATTAGACTACTCTTATCCTGTTCCCCACACTCACCGGAGCCAAAGCCGCGGCCCTTCCGTTTCTTCGCTTTTTCTTTTAGTTTATGGATGCTCTCTAGCGTCCCAGGCGAGAAAATAAGAAGCAACAAAAATAAAAGTCATTTTCTTAAGAACTTTTCTCGTTCCCATGGCTATCTGGAAGCATAAAACAGGGACTCTGGCTTCAGTCCCTTCCCGGTTCCGCCCCTAATTCCTTCCCAAGGGGGCGGAGTCTCTAGTCGAGACCCAGTTCGTGGGCCCGCAACCCAGGAGATTTTCTCCTATTGCATTCTTCTCTCGCTCCTTCCCCTCTTCCCGCAGCCGCCTCCACTCTCCTCACCGTCCCCATCCTCATCCATGGCGAAATCCTCGCCCCCGGCCTCGTGAAGATCCAGCACGTCCGCCATCTTGCTTCTCTCGGAGCTCTCGTCCGTGCCGCTAGGAGCTAGGCACCTCGGGAAACTGTCGCAGAAGAAAAACGTCACCTGTCAGGCTAACCAATCAAAGATTGTCCCCAAGCTCCGCCCTCGGCGTGGTGAAAATTCTCAGACGCGGACCGGCCCACTTTAAAGTGGAGCCGAGTCTGGCGTGGCGGCCGGCTTTCAATCCCAGTGCGTCGATTTGAGTTCGAGGCCATCTTAATCTACTTGGTAAGGTCCAGCGCAGCCAAGGCTACATAGTTTGTTTTGAGACATTCTAAGTAATCCTGACTGGTCTCGAAGTCATAGAGCTCTACCTGCCTCCGACTTCCACGTGCTAGGATTAAAGGCGTGTGCCACCAGGCCGAGCTCTAAGGCTACAGGGTGAGTTCCTACCTCACAAAAATACAAAATAATAGTAAAATAAAACGGTTCCGGAAGTGTTCCTCCGGCCATATTGAGCAGGTCGCGAGCGCTTCTGCGATGGGACTAATTCAAAGGGTGAGTGAAGTCATTGGCCTTAACAAGAAATCATAAAGCCGCGTCCTTATTAGAGGGTTGTTTTTCTTCTCTCCACTCCATACTAGGAAATGGCAGTTGAATTGAATTTTTGCTTTTAATTTCAAACAGCGAGGGTTGGTACTTATGAGAGTAAGAAAAGGCTTGTTGCTGCCAACAAGTTCGATCCCTGGCACCCACAAAGTGGAAGAAACGAAACGACTTTTGCAAGGTGTCCTCTGACCTCTATATGCTTGCCTTCAAACAAGTCGTAAACACATGCATAAATACAAATAAGTTAATGTTAAGAAAAATTAAAACTAAAAAGTAACTTAAGCATATATAACTTGTTTGAAAAATCCATCTAATCTTTATAGGAAGCATTAAAAGAATTAGTTAAATCAATACTAGCTCAAAAGCTGCCTCTGGCACAGAATCTTAGGAGAACTAGTATATAAGCTAATGATGCACATATTAAGATACACGGGACGAGGATAAAATATGGGTTATATATTTTATTCTGGGAGAAGTCATTCACTCGAGAAAACTGATGACCCGAAAGTCCTGCTCCCAAGTATCCACACCCAGGCTGCTCTCCCTAACCCAACCGGAACCAAGGGGAGGGGTGTCCAGGACGCCGACCAGCCTACCCCATCACTCCCGCACCTGTGACCATACCCAAACAACAAGCCATGCCTTTAATCCCAGCACTCTGGAGGCAGAGGCAGGTGGATCTCTGAGTTTGAAGCCAGCCTGGTCTACAGAGCAAGTTCCAGGACAGGCTCCAAAGCAATACAGAGAAACCCTGTCTCGAAAAACAAAAAACAAAAAACAAAAAACAAAAAAAAAAAAAAAAAAAAAAAAAAAAAATTGATGAAAAAACAATCAATTGAAATTTGATTGGCCAGGCAGATAGCAAAGTTTTTGTTTTGCACAGAGAGCTGTCTGCTTCAGCCTCTGGAGTGGTGGGATGTTCCTCACCACACCCATCTTCAATTTTTTTTTTTTTTTTTTTTTTATGTTACTCTCTGGAACTGAGAATGAACTTAATTGACAAATATATTTACAGTAGTGATCATGAAACCCCAGGTTTCCTCCTCAGCATGGCGCAAATCAGAGCTAGACATGAAGGAAAGGAGGTATCAGAGTCTTAAAAACAGCAGCTTTACAATCCTTGAAGATAGTATGGTGTATTAGTCAATGTTCTCTAGAGTCAAGAACTTATGGAATGAACCTCTTTCTCACACACAGGATTTACTGGAATGACTTACAGGCTTCAGTCCAGCTAATGCAAACAGTGGTTAGCTGTGAATGGAAAGTCCAAAATTCTAGTGGCTGCTCAGTCGGCAAGGCTGCGACTTCTGTATTTGCTGGAATCTGGAAGTAGGCTCTAATGCGAGTGAAGGGATGGATGTGCTAGCAGGCAAAGGGCAAGAGCTTCCTTCTTCTATGTCCTTATATAGACTTCCAGCAGAAGGTGTGGCCCAGATTAAAGGTGTGCCTTCCCACCTCACAGTCGGGATCAAAGGAGTGTGTCCTTCCTCAAGATCTGGACTAGAAATGGATTCATCCACTTCAAAGAGAAACTTTCTCACAAGTGTGCCCTCCATTTGTGGATTGTAGTTTATTCTAAACTGTATTAGCTAGGGTTCTCTGCTGTCTAACAATGGCCAGTTATGAATGGAAAGTCCAAGACTATAGGAGCTGCTCAGTCCCATGATGAGGCTGGATGTCTCATCTGGTGTGCTGGGTTCTCGAAGAAGGAATGGATGGGCTGAGGAGGTGCTGGCGAGCAAGTAGATGAACACCCCTCCATCCCCCACCCCACCACCCACTCCCACCACCGCTGCTTGTGATGTGGAGGAGTGATGCATGGCCCTGATCTCATTACTTGGGAAGTGGAGGTAGGAGGATGAAGTATTCAAGGCTAGCTTCAGATACATAGCAAGTTGGAAGCTACATGAGATCCTATCACAGGGGGAAAAAAAGTCATTCTGGCTTACTAGACAAAAACCCATGTTTAATTGTGTAAAATTTTACATATAAAATACATACAAAGTACCAAAAAGATAACTAAAATCTTCAACATCAGAAGTGGACAGAACAATTTTTCTCTTGTTCTTTGGAGTTGTGTGGTTTTGAGAAAAATAGTAAATCCAGGAGGTGCAAGGACGATTCTCCCCCAAGCTCATACTCCTTAACAGGTGTTACACAAAGAAAAGAGTGCAGGAGAAATGGGAGGGTCCGTGGCTTCCGGCTTATACATACCAATTTAAAAATACACCTGTCATGTAATGTGGGCACCTCTGCCCCAACCCAGTGTGCTTTATGAAATAAAGAGGCAGGCTAAAAGAATCAAAGAACCTTTTTTAAGCACTGACACTGTGATGACTGGGCTCACTACCTGATCCCCTGTGTCCTTGTCACAGATGATTGCAAAAAAAAAAAAGAAAAAAGAAAACTTATCTAATCTACTCCTTCCCTTTCCTCTTCCTCCAAATCGCCCGCTCCCCTCACCGCCCCCCCCCCCCGCAGTAGAGATTAAACTGAGGCCTCACATGCCAGTCAAATTCTACCACTAAGCTATATCCCCAGCCCTGTTTTTACATCATATTTCTGAGACAGTCTTGCTAAGTTACCCAGGTTGCCTCTGAACTCACTCTAGCTAGGATGGACCTTGAATTTCTGATCTTCTTGCCTTAGCCTCCAGAGTAACTGGGATTACAGACTTGTACTCACCAGGCCCAGTTCCTAATCTAAAAGCAAACTGCAACTGTTCAATGGGAAGTCGAATTATAGTAGCAGTACATTGAAAGTGAACAATGATATAGCATGGCAGAGACCACAGAAACAAGAGGGAAATAGAGCTCTGCCTATCTTCTAGGTCATTTCTCTCTTCACACACATTAACTAGTTCTCTTCCTTTTGCAGGCTTCCCAGGTGCCACTTAGGAAGAACCACATTCTCATCCATGGGTCATCAACTCCTTCTCACAGTCAATGTGGAGGAAGAAAAGGAAGACACAGGAGATGAGAATCTGAGGTGTATACATTTAAGAGTAAACAGCACAACTCGATGGGCCTGAGATTCTTCACAGGTTCTCACTGAACAGAACAGGTGCAGTTTCTAAAGAGCAGAATGCTTCTTCCAATCACTGAAGAAAGGGTTAAGGCAGATGAGGTGATGCTCCACTGTAATCCTAGCATTTGAGAGGTGGATGCAGGAGGCTCAGGGGTTCAAGATCATTCTCATCTACATTTGAGGCCAGTCTGGGCTACATAAACAAAATGAAATAGAGAGAAATAGAGAGGGAGAGAGAGAGAAAGAGAGAGTGTCTTTACTAAGTATGGTGAGAAGAGGGAATGGCGAAAGGTAAGTATCGGAAGCCCTCACCCTCCTCTTAGACCCAGAAATCTAGACTGCTGGAAGGGCATCCGTAAGCCCAGAGGCAGTTGAGGTAGTGCTGTCTCCCACCCTGCATATAAATTCTCTTGTTCTTGGGCAGTTTCTCAGGAGTGACTTCACCTATGATCTCAGCAAGAATACTGCCACAAGTATGAAACCCTCCTAGCCTACAGAATGAGTTTCAGGCCAGCCAGAGCTACTTACTGAGGTGTCCCACAAAACAAAAAAGCCAGATCTGTTCCTTCTGGATAAGGCAGGGAAGTCCCCAAACAGCCTGTGGAGGCAAGGGAGGAGGAAAGTAAGAGGAGGAGGAGTATAATAAGGCCCGCCTCAAGCCAGAGTTCATACCGTTTAGTCTAGAGAAAGCAAGAATATTGGTGAGGGTGGAACACATTGACTTGTTTTATATGTAGGAGAAGAGGGATTTGAGATGGTCTTACACCCCGTAGCCCATGCTGACCTGTAAGTTCATTGTGTGGTCCAGGCTGGCCTCATATTCACAGGAATACTGTCTTAAGACTTCTGAATGCAGAGATTATAGCTATGAGTCATCACACCCAACTGCTTTGCTTGTTTAGTTTTTGTGGTTTTGTTTTTGGCTTTTTGAGACTGTGTTTCTCTGCATCACCTTGGCTGTCCTGAACTAGCTCTGTAGAGCAGACTGGCTTCAAACTCAGAGGGATCCACCTGCCTCTGCCTCCCGAGTGCTGTCATTAAAGGTGTGTGCAACCACCACCTGGCCAGGTGACTGCTATTTTAAGAAAAAAGAGACATGAACACTTTTAGTAAATTATACTGTACTACTGAAATGACTTATACACTTAATCTGAAGGTTTAAGAGCCAATAAAGCTCTAAAATGGAACAGTGATATTTCAAAGGTAACTACATCCCCAAACTGGAAGTTAGAAAAGGGATCTCAGCAAATAGGAATCTGGGTGTAGAATTTATACATATATGTCTATATTTTAAAGTATAAAATTGATAAAGTATATACAAAAAAATCACCCTACGTCTTAGAAAGGAGACATACAAAAAGGGGCTGAAGAGCATGGCAAGAGGGCAGGTGCTCAGCAGCTGGAAGGATGCATGTTGCCCAACTGCCCAGCAGCCAGCATGAGAATGTCTTTCTTCTCCTTGTGGAAGCGTAGCTCCTTGCCCGCCAGCCGGGCTTCATC